ATTTCGCTTACTCTGCCACTATTTTGTACTCGAGTGCATTTCCCATTCGATGTATGTATGTATGTACATAAATTGTCTAAAATCTGGGACATTCACTCGGAGTGTATGAATGCTAATGCGATTGCCTTAGTGTCCTTTGAATGCTGCTTTCACTATTACTCTCCAGGTGCATTGAGTGAATACTTTATTTCAATACATATGTAAAGTAGATTCATGTACATGCATACATATGCACATATATGTATACATATGTATAAGAATATTTATTACATGATATGCCTTAATTCTTTGAACATAAATATTGTAAACGTGATCTTATTGGGTTACTGAACCTACTACAAATTTTATTTGGGTCAGCTTCCTTAATTTGTGATGAGCTTTTTGGTGTTGGCACAGAAATGAACACTGAATTCCTAATAAGATAAGGGGGTCGAAAAAATTAGAGAGAATCTGGAAAAATTAAACGCGCTTTGCTGCTTTATGATAAGGTTGTTCCGAGTCTTGTTTGCAATATTTTTAAAGGAAGTCATAGCTTCGGTGTATGTAGGGTGGTCCAAGTAAAGTAAAGTCCCCAAAAAATGAAATGGGGCGACACATAAAAAATCGATAGTATTAAAAAAGTAAGTGCGCCTGGGCCACACTGAAGAAGTGAATTTTACGTACACACGTACCTACATACATATATACATATGTATGTACGAACATGCATACATATGTACATACATCTGCTTTTGCTTAAGGTTATATTTTTTGTCTTTTTTCTATCTACATCCCTTCAGATAGCCCTGTTCGTTCTAATTACATTTATGTTATTCTGTTTTCCTTTACCCTCATTTTTATCTTTATACTCTATCGATAACAAAAACGATAGTAACATCCAGCAAAATATCGATAACAAAACCGATAAAAATATCGATAACAAAATCGATTACAAATTCGATAAAAATTTCGATAGCAAAATCGATAATAACATTGGTAGCAAAATCGATTAGAAAATCGGTAAAAATGTCTATAAAAAAATCGATAACAAAATCGCTAATTAATCGATAAATAATCGATAACAAACCCCATAAAAAACGATAACAAAATAGATAAAATATCGATAACAAAGTCGATGAAAAATTCGATAAATCGTTCGATAGCAAAATCGATAATATTGTTCGCAAACTCGATTAGAAAATCGATAAAAATATCGATAACAAAATTTATAAATAATCGATAACAAAATCGATAGATAATCAGTAACAATATCGATAACAAATTCGATAACAAAATCGGTAAAAATATCGATTATTATAACTATAAGTTCCGAAAATATCGAAAGCGAAATCGTTAACAATATTGATAAAAATTTCGATGACAACATCGATAAAAATATCTATAACAAAACCGATAAAAATATCGATTATTATATCGATAAGTCGCGAGAATCCCAAAAATCTCCTTTTCTCTATAATTACCTTTATTTTAATCTTTCTTCCTCTATCTTCATCTTTACCTCAATCGGTATCCTCATCCTCATCGTTTTCTTTATATTCATCTTTGTTTTTTCTTTTATGTTTATCATTTTCTTCATCTACATATTCCTCTTCACCTTTGCCCTTGTATAAGTAAAATGTTTAAATTTACCTTGGTCTTCATTTTTGCCTTTATCTTTACGCATCTTTGCTTTTGTTTTTATTTTTACCTTTGCCTATATCCTTTTCTTTATCTATGTTCTTGTATTGGTCTATTTCTAAGTGTTATTCTTTAATCTTTTGTTAGCAAATTTTTGTTAAATTAATACCATACACACAAGAAGCACTTGTTTCAGCCCCCCTCTTTTCCGTTGCACCAATTCCGTTGCACCATTTCCGTTGAATTTGCCAATTTACTCCCAACCAACCAACCGCCGCTAAAGAAGTTTCACTTCAAAAAGTCCGCTAGCCAGTGTTTTGCTCAGTCGGCCATTACGACTGTTGAAGCAGCGTGATCAAAAGACCTTCTCGCCATGAAAGTTGGCAAGGGAGCTTTGTTTGTAAGACTTGCGTGCCAGACTTAACAAAATCCTACAAACTATTTTACTTGCTGTCTTTTAATTGTCTTGCTCTGCAAATTAAATAATACGCACCAGAGTAAGTTACCTTGTCTAAAATCTACTTAACTCTTTTAAATTTTACTTAGTTAAACGTCCCAAAATTCAGACATGACGTCATGGAGGCAGCTTCTCTTCGAGCTGCCAAAAGGCGATGTGGGGTTCGATTAACTTAGCTAATGTTTTACCTAGAATTTCATGCAGTGTCGAATCTAGTCAATGGTAGAGTTTCCAGATATGAACACTGCAAATCATTTGGTTTATATATACATATAGGGCTTCGGTCTCTGACACATTATCGTCCATATGGCCTTTTAAGCAATGTTTTAAAAATTATTTCCTGGGAATAATTCTACAAACATCAGAATTTCCTTTAGTGCGGATTAGGCAACTTACGATCTTCGGGTATGCATACGGTGACCATCCGTCCTTTATTTTAAAGGACAGTCCTTTATTTTAACCCGCTGTCCTTTATATATTTTTTTCAAAATAAAGGACGCCTTTTGTCCTTTATTTCTTAAACTGTCCTCTAAATCAGCTCTACATACATAGGTAAATTTTTAAACACAGAATATGAAAAATAAAAATGTCCCTTACAAAATATAATTAAAACCTTCGCCAGTTTGTTTCGCCCCCACCTAAGGGTTTATATATAATCAGTAATCTTTGTACAACCTATAAAGGAGGATCGTGTTGCGCGCTGAGTTTCCAGTTCCATTGAAAGAAAATAATAAACCCCCTGCTGCACAGTGGTTCAAAACTGGCATCTAGTGTTCGTAATTCACTGGAGACTTCATTTTTCCCTTAATTTGATTAATTTTTATTTTTATTTTTTATGAATTACATATTTGCTAGAGACCAGTTGAGCCTGATGTGTGAATTTTTATTTGATTATATTAAATTTTTTAGTGCAAAATGCAAAAAAGTAGCAATTTTGAAGAATATGTATTCTATGTATGTATAACAAAAACTAGTTGAAAACAGTTGTATGGTTTTCCCAAAACGAAAAAATTACACAAAAAAAACCTTGAAATGTTATAAAAAATGTTAACAAAAATAACTATTTTTTTGGTTTTTAGTAAAAATTGGTTTAAAATGAAGACTCCGGTGAATTATGAACATTATATTCCAATTTTGAACCACTGTGTGCTGGCTTTCGTCGTGCAGTATGAATTATGGTAAACGCATTTTGGTAGCAAAGGGTAACGAAGTCCTTAAAAAGGATTTGACTTCATTTTTCGCTAATTTCGCTGATTTAAATTACGATATGGGTAAAGTACTTTTATCATACAAGTTGTATGTACGTATTCCCAAATCATTTTGAAAAAAAATTTCCTTTATTTTACGTTAGTTAATATGGTCACCGTAGGTATGCACTCTACATACCCAAATTCGCGTTATTTAAATTTTCAATAAGTTCAAGCGTGGTTTCCCCGATGGCCTTGCTTTGGTTTATGCTTATAAAGTGTATATTTTAAAATGATTTGACATGGCAATGAGGCACTTGCCTTGTGCACTTTATCACTGTTTCAAGCATGTAAAAATGAAATACTTTTGGATAGACCTATTTTAATAGACTTTTAAATACAATTAGAGTCTATTGCGACTAATTCAGAGTTCTTCATGACTGAAGCTCCTATGAGTAAGTAGAGTAATAAAAACCAAAAACTCTTGGCTTCGTGCGAAATTATGCGGGGCTCAAACTTATTTGTTCGTACACACATATTTGTATGTATGTATGTTGTGCAGGGTTTTAAGAATGTATGCATTGTGCACATGAACATATGTATGTACTTATATTCATAAAAACAACAATAAAGGTCTACATACATACGTATGTATATAGCAGAAAAATCACCCCATTGCCCAGTTGCCCAGTTTTAACCTGTTTCACGCGATGAGCCTCCTGATGATTATAGTACAGGGTGGGCCAAATAAGACCTAACAATGTTGAACACGTATAACTTCTTAATTTTTTAATATTATTGTTATGTTCTTTTAGGGTTGCCAGATTTTTTATGCACAAAATCAGTACGTTATCAGTACAGTACATTTTTGTTCAAAGCAAAATTATGAATGTAAGTAATAGATAATACTTTAAAACGCCAGAGTACTTGTTTTTAACAATATTTTAGAATATAAATAAAATATAGTTCATAAAAAAATAAAAGTGTTATTCATTTTAACATGAGTATACACATAATTATACTCAGAAGACAATAAATTATTTTATATTTATGGCATTTTTGAATAGCAATAATGAGATCATTTCCATCTTCATTGTTTAATTAGTCAAAGAATTCTATACATTTCATTTTAAAATTACTTTTAATTTGAATTTTATTTTAAAAATTTTAATTTGAAGCCGGTTTCTCTCTTTGCGCCAGGAAGCAAAGTTTATACTTAAGACCCTCTCAGTTGCTTCGTCTGGGTGTGATATTGAATAAAAACAAAAAATTGCAAATTTTTTCAAACTGTGGAAAAGTACCACTATTTAAGGACTTCATCTATAATTTGTCATGGTTCAAACTAATTGCTATATACTACCTGCTGCATGAAATTGGTAGGTCTTATTTGGCCCACCCTGTACAATCCGCTTCTCCATGGGCTCACTTCTCCTTTTTCGAGACGCGCTCTCACACACATTTCGATATGCGCTGGCGCTAACTTTTGCCTATTTTCCCATCATCAAAGTGCCGTTGTCGGAAATCTCTCGTTTCGGCAAAAGTTTACTTTATTTCAACTTATTAATTTAACGATTTCGGTCGAAAGCATAAGGTAGAGTGGCAATGACAGTGGTAGTATTTGCGCTCTCGCCAACAATCGGGGGAAATATGTACAAAATCACTCACGCACCGCCACACTTGGACGAATGCAAGGATGAATAACGAACGAAATGAAATGAAGAGCACACGGAAGGTAAGCAAGAATAACATAAAGTGAGTGTTGAAATAAATCAACCCAGAATTGCTTGGCCCAGTATCAATTCGTACGTTCCCCATAATGTCAGCCATAGCAGTGGATACGTCGTGGTCGTCGTGTACGGAAGCAAATCAGCTAAAGCAGCAGGAGTCAAAGGCTCAGCCAATGCAATAGATAGTGTTGTAGAAAAGCAAAAACAAAAAAACAAAAATCATACAAATGTAAAAATGCTTGAAAAATTACAGCAGCATCAGCAGCAGCAGCAAAGGGAATGAAGGAAAATTGTGCAAGATATTGTATGGTTTTTCTAAAAAGAAATTTGCACAATTTAACGCTAACCGACCACCTCGGAAGCTCGGAAGCTGTGCACAAAGTAATTTAAAATCGAATCGAAAAAAAGCTCAAAACGAAAAAGAAAATTACCATAAAGTGCTTGAAATTTGTGCGAGGAAAAGGGTGTGAGGAATGTAAGTGAAAAATCGATGGAAAATTAGTGCACGATTTGCTGAAAACGCCAACTTTTGGCTGATATCGCCAATATAAACTTTGTGAAAATTTATGAATTAAAAACGTGAAAATATTTTGTGCTTTATATCGAATGAAAATTTTTTCTTATATGTACATACATACACATACACACACACACGCATACATTTTTCACAACTTCGTTGTCGTGCTTTGTTGCTGTCGGTCGTGTTTTCATCGTCGTCGTCGTTGTCGTCGTCGTCGATTGCAGGCAAGTACCAGGCAAGCCAAATAGCTCGCTACTACAAAAATTGTTGTTGTGCTAGTCGTCATAGCCGTCGTCGTCGTTGTATTTAGTTGGTTCAGCGTAGTGGTGTTGTTGGATGAACGGAGCGACAGATCGTCGAACAGTTGGCGACTAGTCGAATGGAGGAGCACCCTTACGGAAGGAAGGGCACTTAAAAAAAGGCGATCGAAAAAGTAAAAAAAGTAGCTATGCTGCTTAAGTGTTTGAAAAACTTAAAATTAAAAAGTGTTTTCCAGTTAAACCATTAAAAACTTGTGAACAAAATATTACAGTACAGGGTAATGCATACAGTACCTAAATAAGTGATTAATTTTTTACTAAAAGCGAAAATTTTTCAGCTTTTCAAAAAACGAAAGCACAAAAAATGCCTCTGGTAGTGAAATAAAATCAGCCCAAAATTTGTGCGCACAACTTTTTTTCTTTCATTCTTTTTGAAATTCGCATCCGGAAATGCATTACATTCTTCGTGCAATCGTAAAATGGAAAACGACAAAAGCGCAGCGCAACAACATAACTAAATGACAGGCCAACAACTGTGCATGCTCCTTTGCACGAGTCGCCGCAGCAGCAGCAGCAGCAGCACCAACAACAATATTAAAACAACAATGCATTAGCACAGGAACTGCGCTGCAACAACAAGCAAAGTGAAAAGTTTTCGGGCGCAGTACCTACATACATATGTACATATTTTTTTAAGCTTGTGCTTGTGAATGAGCACGCGTGCGAGAATGTCAAGAAAATTAGCTAACTGAGCGAAATGTGCGCGCTCTCATCTCAACTCAAAACATTTCACCACCCACCCATACACCACATATCCACAATCCACTCTCGCAAACATACCTACAAACGCGCATTCATATATACATATATACTATATATTCATATACCTAAATACCAATGTAGTAAGCAATGCAACTGTCAGCTGGGCTCAGCTAAACGTGCATTGGGAGAAGATGATGGGCTATTGAAATCGGAAAACAAGTTGTGTGGCAGTGTTACCATAACTAGAAGTTACACCTTAAAGAAAATACCGAATAAATGTAGCTTAGTATGTACGAGAGAGAATGTTTGTTCAACCCCCTGGAGAACAAGTTTACGGTCTTTGGTAGATTTTCCAAACTCGCTTCCTACAGTCATTATAGGGATATTAATTTTCTTCTTAGGATAGTGAAGTTAAAAAACACATAATCAGGGAGGCTCTGCAATTCACTTCCCAGTGAATTTCAACCCCTGCCAATTTGAATTCAGAGTGCATTTGATTGATATTAACTCGGAAATTGCAGCACCTGCCTAAATATTTAAATTTCAATAGAATTTTGATTTCTTACAGCCAATTTCACTAAAACAATTTAAGTGAGAAATGATTTTAATTTTATATGGAAAATGACTAAATAAAAAATCATTTTCCATTTATATTGGTGGTGAAATCGGCTGTTAGTAAAATTTTAACTATGTCCGTCTAAGTGGAAAAGAAAACTATTCAAATGTCTGCCACGAGATGGCTTGCAGGGCTTAATCCTTTTGAGATATGTACTTCGCTACCTTACAGGTCAAAAATCTATAATAATAATAAAATATATCTAGCAGGCAACACGTTCATTTCGTAACCTAAATATTGCGAATTTCAAAAATTTCGAAACTTCAAGCTAAGGTTTCTTTTATAAGGAGTGAGCTGCTCGGGTCGACTCGGAGCTCGTGTTTCGTCTATGATACGCACACTTAATTGCTGAGTAACATAAGCTGTTTACTCAAAACAGTCGAAACGCTAGAGTCGATTAAAATTCACAAAAAATAAGTAAAAAACAAATAATTTTAAGACGCTGCCATTAGTCGGAGGTATTGAATTATACGATTTCCTTTTCTTGGTAGATATCTTAAAAAGGAAACATTTTAGACTAAATTTGTTAAAGCATAAAAATCACGATTTTTGAAACTTTTGATTCGTACAGGCGGAAACGAGCGTTTCTAAGAATTTAATTTTACGTAAATTCTAATTGACAAATCCATGAAAACAAATTAAAAGATACAGTTGCGGTCAAAATAATAGCAGCAAAATTCAAAATGATGCTGTTGGCAACTTATCTTTATTTATTTATTGTTAATAGTTTTCATTTAAAATATGGGTCGATGGTCGGACAAATACAGGACATTTGACAACGCTAATCAAGAATGACCTTATGGTCTATCATTCCTGCTTACGGGTAATAACTCGGCTATACGTTGACATACCTTGTCCTTCACACAGAGCGAAAGGCGCCTGATAAAACAGAACAAAGGTTAGAAGACGTACAATCATGTGAAAAATAATAGGGACACGACATTTTGACCAGTTTTGGTTATTTTTCGTTTGTTTGCTTAATGTTTACTATTTTTTTTTTAATAAATATACAGCTCATTATCTAGAAAAAACCATATAAGTCCAATTTTCAAACTTTGTAAGGAAATCAACAAAATTATACAACAACACCAAATTTTTTGTTAAGTCTTTAGAAAAATTCTTAGTAAAAAGTTTGTTGTTGTTGTAAAGCTTTGTTGAATTTTTCTAATTTTTCCACGAAGTTTAAGAAGCTTTATTTTTTGTGAGATTATCTTTTCAATGAAATCTGTAAGAAATTCCACCGATTTTTATTAAAAGCTAAAAAAAAATGACAAAAAAGACAGTCTGCGCTGACCTGTTTGTACCTCCATTTCAAATCATAATTTATATTAAAAAAAGTACTTACTTCTTCACCTCCGCGCCCCCGACTTCTACAAGCTGCCCCCATCTTCCTCTTGGTATGGGGTACCACGCTCTTAGGATACGCATAAATTGAAAAGTGGACCAGTTTCGTTGTGTACAAATATTGTAAAATAATGTTGAGTAATTTTAACGTAATATCCATGCCTCCAGATTGGACTTTTACGAAGGATAAGGACCTAACGCCCCCCACAGTAGCCAGACCGGACTGGCTTATGTAGGAAAAACTTGGAATGACCAGTGCAGAGTTTTGACCTTGCATGTATCTAAACTGAAAGTTCGCCTACGCGACTAGAGATGCGTACTTCCATTTTGCACGACACAGATTCAATCCTCGGTCCGTTCAAAATCTAATAAAGTGGTTTCTAATAGAGGTCGCTCAGAAAACCATTTTCCGTTCGCAGCATAAAACTTCAGATTCCACACTTTTTGTGACAAAGTGGAGACACACATCACAAATTGGAGGAGGAGCTTAGCCAAACACTTAAACAAAGAGTGGAGGTAAAAACTGTTCTTACTATAGCGAGAGCCGTACAAAAACAGAAAAAGTGCTTTGAACGGCTTTTCCTCTACAGACAGCATAATTTATTGGATTCTCGATAATGCGTAGCCGTTCCTGAGCCCTATTGATCAACTTTTTCCAAGAAATACTTAATTGTTTTGAATCCGTAGAGGTTGTGTTAACGGTTCCTATGTTTTAAATGCTTGCAGATAGGAGCTATCGTGCCGTCCCTGCAAAACCTGCTTAGCTAATTGGCTCTGGTTCTGTTGAGGGAACTTCAAATTCACATTTCGCCAATTCACCAGTTCGTTAGCCTGAACACGACAGTTAAATAATTCAAGATTGATTCTATGCGTGGCGAAATTGAGAGCTACTTTTATTACTAGATAACTTTTGAGTAGGAGTGAGTGCTTACAAGAGCCTGCCTATAACCTCAGATTTTGATCTGGGGAGTCATATGCCTTTTCCTTGAAGCCTTGGCCTTTTTTTGTGGTCAAGGAATACTTCGCCGTTACATGTGTAGCAATCACCGAGCTCACGTGTACAAAAGAAACAACTCGCGGGTGTCCCTCGTCTCATCAGCTATGCAGTTTGCCGCACTCATTTGGAGGTAATCGATAGCCCTAGCATCGATCCAAATGCCCTATTCGAGCTTATCGATCAGAAAAAATCTTGCCTTCTCGAAAGTATGACACGCTGGTGCTCAATAAGTAGACCCCCCTACTGAGATATCCACAATCTGAAATCGTTGGGAAACGCACAGTTTCCCTCGTTTGAGAAATCTGGAATCCTAATCTTGGGTTTACGGAGTGTTATTCGAAAATACTTACTGGTAAAGCACAGTGTCAACTATTAAAGTATTTTATGACGAAAAACTCGATTTTTGGAGGTATCTTGAACGTTTTCTAGTTCCGGAATGACCCTAAATGCAGACAAAATATTTTTGTAGAAGTGATGAAATTTACGGAATTGTATGCCTCAATAGAGGAAGCAGCAATTTTTAGTATGTTTTTACATTTCACTGACAATTTTTTAAATATTTGTGTTTTTCAAAAAATTAAGCTACTTAGTATGAGACTTGTATCTTTACACCGCTATTGTTTTGAACTTTTTAAGTGAACAAAATATTAAAAAAATTGTTGGCAACCCCACCCAAAAATACAATCCACTCATGTGCACTTTTGTGCTTTCGTTAACATTCGCATACTCTGCCAAATCAGGAGGGTGCTCAGCTGTACTCTCCACTCACCAGGCAATATGCTCGTCATTTGCCCTCATGAGATGGTAATGACGTTGTAGAGAATTTTCCGCGCTGTGAATATATGTAATCAAAAGTGTGAGCGATAAAGGCACGCACACATACACACATGTTATGTGGATATGACGGAGTGCCCCATTGTGAACGATTAGAGACTTTTGGCGTAAGTGATTTTCACATGAGGCAGGCCAGACCGAC